GACCAAAGAAAGTAATTTGAATATTAGCAGGGGTCTATATAACTTAGATCCATTTCTAATAGATCAGCTAAAGGGCGATTTAAGTAGGATCATTGAAAAACATTTGTCTCACTAATTTATTGTATATATTTACTTCTTTATGTTATAATTACCTATTATTTATGCTTGTATGTCTGCTGTATCAGATGGGCCATTGTGCTACATCGGATGGGCCAATTGGGTGCATCTGATGGGCCAATGGGCCGTCTGCGTTGTCCAAGTATTGTACCTCACCCCACTTCACCACTCTCTCCTGCCTATTTATACCCATCACTCGATCTGTAAAATCATTCCTTCTGAAGATGTATTTAATATACGAAAGTACTTAAGGAAATTCCTGTTTCATTTTCCTCCGTGGTCTGACATTGTCTCATATATATATATATATATATATATATATATATATATATATATATATATATATATATATATATATATATATATATATATATATATAACTGAAAACTCACACCCCAGAAGTGACTCGAACCCATACTCCCAGAAGCAACGCATCTGGTATGTACAAGACGCCTTAATCCACTTGACCATCACGACCGGACAAAATGAGGTGATAGCCGAGGCTATTTGAACCACCCCACCGCCGGCACTCGGATAGTTATCTTGGGCATAGCATTTTACCAAATCACCTCATTCTTTGGGGCAACACGTGAGGAACACAAATGCGAACAAGCCTGAATGGTCCCCAGGACATATGCAACTGAAAACTCACACCCCAGAAGTGACTCGAACCCATACTCCCAGAAGCAACGCATCTGGTATGTACAAGACGCCTTAATCCACTTGACCATCACGACCGGACAAAATGAGGTGATAGCCGAGGCTATTTGAACCACCCCACCGCCGGCACTCGGATAGTTATCTTGGGCATAGCATTTTACCAAATCACCTCATTCTTTGGGGCAACACGTGAGGAACACAAATGCGAACAAGCCTGAATGGTCCCCAGGACATATGCAACTGAAAACTCACACCCCAGAAGTGACTCGAACCCATACTCCCAGAAGCAACGCATCTGGTATGTACAAGACGCCTTAATCCACTTGACCATCACGACCGGACAAAATGAGGTGATAGCCGAGGCTATTTGAACCACCCCACCGCCGGCACTCGGATAGTTATCTTGGGCATAGCATTTTACCAAATCACCTCATTCTTTGGGGCAACACGTGAGGAACACAAATGCGAACAAGCCTGAATGGTCCCCAGGACATATGCAACTGAAAACTCACACCCCAGAAGTGACTCGAACCCATACTCCCAGAAGCAACGCATCTGGTATGTACAAGACGCCTTAATCCACTTGACCATCACGACCGGACAAAATGAGGTGATAGCCGAGGCTATTTGAACCACCCCACCGCCGGCACTCGGATAGTTATCTTGGGCATAGCATTTTACCAAATCACCTCATTCTTTGGGGCAACACGTGAGGAACACAAATGCGAACAAGCCTGAATGGTCCCCAGGACATATGCAACTGAAAACTCACACTTGCAAGCCTCGGCTATCACCTATGTTATAATTCAGCCATTCAGGCTTGTTCGCATTTGTGTTCCTCACGTGTTGCCCCAAAGAATGAGGTGATTTGGTAAAATGCTATGCCCAAGATAACTATCCGAGTGCCGGCGGTGGGGTGGTTCAAATAGCCTCGGCTATCACCTCATTTTGTCCGGTCGTGATGGTCAAGTGGATTAAGGCGTCTTGTACATACCAGATGCGTTGCTTCTGGGAGTATGGGTTCGAGTCACTTCTGGGGTGTGAGTTTTCAGTTGCATATGTCCTGGGGACCATTCAGGCTTGTTCGCATATATATATATATATATATATATATATATATATATATATATATATATATATATATATATATATATATATATATATATATATATATATAATGTGTGTGTGTGTATGTATGTATGTATTTTTTATATATTAAGTACATAATTGTTTACATATGATGAGACAGGAGCACATATTCCCTTGAGCTCCACAGCTCCGCCCCAAACATTGCCAATCCATCACTTGTTTGGGAAAAACTGTGTTTTCCGGGAATGTAATATTTAAGGGATTAGTTTTTTAATTAGTTTTGTTAAGTGGTGATCGCGCTTTATTAAATACGCAGATACACGCTAGAATTTATAGTGGAAACTTTTAACAACATTTGTTTTAAGTGAGTTTTATGAGGGTGGCAGGTGTGTGGGGTGTGGCAGGTGTGTGTGGGGTGTAGTAGGTGTGTGTGGGGTGTGTGGGGTGTGGCAGGCGGGTGTGTGGGGTGTGGCAAGTGTGTGTGTGGGGTGTGGCAGGTGTGTGTGGGGTGTGGCAGGTGTGTGTGGGGGATGTGGCAGGTGTGTGTGGGGTATGGCAGGTGTGTGGAAGGTGTGTGTGGTGTGGCAGGTGTGTGGGGTGTGGCAGGTGTGTGGGGTATGGTAGGTGTGTGGCAGGTGTGTGGGGTATGGTAGGTGTGTGGGACAGGTGGAAACTGAGTACCCAGATGAGCCACAGAGACGTTAGACAGAATTTTTTCAGTGTCAGAGTAGTTAACAAATAGAATACAGTGATGTGGTGGAGGCTGACTCCATACACAGTTTCAAGTGTAGATATGACAGAGCCCAGTAGGCTCAGGAACCTGTACACCTGTTGATTGACGGTTGAGAGGCGAGACCAAATAGCCAGAGCTCAACCCCCGCAACCACAACTAGGTGAGTACACACACACACAAGAAGGAACACATGAGTAGCCATGTGTGTGATCCTCACCCAACCAGCACACACACTAATGTAGGCAAATTCGAGGCAAGATGGCGACATGGGCACGGGGACCAAGGCCCAGCAGTTAACTCGACGCCAGTTGAGCAATAAGCGAGTGAAGGGTGGGTGCACCAACTCCACTAACTGCCGGGCCTAACCATCATCTGGTTTTGGAGGATTGAGCAGTCGGCAACCCCGGATGATACATCTTGGATGACTGGTTGGGTGTTGGAGAAGGTTGAAAGTAAGGTATGGGGATGGAGAGGATAGATGGGACAGATGGTGGGGGGAAAGGATAGATTGGGGGGGAGGGGGCACGGGGGGGGGGGGGTGGACTTCCTATTATTGGTGTCCTCACTCATGTTAATAAAGTTCCCATCTTATTTGTATTAATATTAATATATATTTTATCTCGCATCTGCCTGTCCTCCTCCCAAGCTTGTCTGTCTTGCACTGTTGTTGTGGTGTGTGGTTCCCGCCAGCCCTGGGAGCCTCACCCTTAGTGTGTCAGTCACTGCTTATGTCCACTGAACTGTTGTACCCACTGTAGGGTGTTTCCAAGTGTTTACTTCAACCTAGATGCACTTGATAGATCAGACAATTTCAGTTGGGTTAGGTAATGCAGCAACCCGTTCTCGCACTTGCTTAGAGTCAATATTGGCTTATTTAATAAGTGCATATGTGACATACTAATTGAATGTGAATATTTTAGTTTACCTTGAAAAGCTTCATAGAAAACACCGACCTCACCTAACCTTCTTAGTATGTTAAGATGAGCATTTTATTGCTTCTTATTTACAATTATTACTTAACCTATCAACGGTATAGGTTAAGTATTAATTGTAATTAAGAAGCAATAAGATGCTTATCTTAACATACTAAGAAGGTTAGGTGAGGTCGGTGTTTTCTATGAAGCTTTTCAAGGTAAACTAAAATATTCACATTCAATTAGTATGTCACATATGCACTTATTAAATATGCCAATATTGACTGTAAGCAAGTGCGAGAACGGGTTGAATATAGTCACCTTTCATTCTTGATCCATTTTCGTTCCTTTGAATGTTGATTATAGTGAGTTCGCCTCGGCTGTAGTTTTTTCATTCCTCCATTGTAACTAAGTTCACGCTGTTTTGGGACATATCATGTCGAATACTTCTGAACTTTCTCGTGTTTTAGTGTGAGTTTGTATGTGGAGATGTTAGAGCTTGGTTGCACATTCATGTGTGTGTCTTATGTCGGTTATTTGTAATGTTTTGACAGATTCGTATTCTGGAGATGATGTAAACTTTCAGATCTTTCTATTTTTCTGCTTATTTATAACTTGTAAATCCCATTTTCCCCCGTTTTTATTATTTTGCATTTGTCCGGGTTAAAGTCTACCAACCATCATTCTCACCAATGATCCAGTGCGTGCTTCCTTTAGTCTCTTGCAGTTTATTTTTTGTTTCTATCTATACTCGTCATCTTTACATTGTCCAAAAAACATTTATATGAGTGTTCTTATTTCCTTTGTCATGTCATTTGCATAAATTGGGAACATAATGTAGCATTAGATCAAGCCTTGTGCTATTCCCCCATGTGACCTCTTCCCTTTCTGATTTCCCCTCTTATCGCCATTACCCTCTGTTTGCTACCGGAGAGTCTCCCCTCACCCTACGCTCTACCCGTTCAGTTATAAACTACCTTTCCTCTCAAGTTTATTTAGGTGGCTTTTATGTAGGATAGTACAAAGCTCACTCTGTCATTCAAGGAGTATTCAGTAAGTGCATCATTTTCTCCCTTGTTTAATCACTGTCTTGTTTTTTTTTTAACTGTAATTGGTCACTGAACCCAAATTGGTGCTTAAAGCTAAAATAATTAGTTTTATACGTGAACTACAAGTCGTTTCTTTAGGAAATTGGGACGAATGCATGTCAGTGACTTCGGTCTGAAGTTCAGTGGCTCACGACATTTTTCTTTCAGATGGGGATCACATTAGATATTTTACATATATGTGGCAAATTAATTCGCTCCCAATAGTCACTTTAGGAACATTGCAAAGGGAGTAGTGTAGTGCCTTTGTTGTCTCTTTTTAGAAACAGTGATTCTATCTTGTCTAATCCCATATCCTATTTCCATTTCCAGTGTTTTCTAGTCACCTTTGTCACCTTTCTGCCTTCACTGCAATTTCAATGAGTATCTCTCTGCTTGGCTTCATGCATCCTCATCCGGTGGGAACTTTGGTTTATAAATGTCTTTTTTGTCAATAGCGGTACCCTCCTGGTCTGCTTTTTCTTTCTAATTATAAAGAATAATTACAAATGTCATTTGAAATACGTGATTTGTAATAATTCCTGTTAATTTTATCCCCCCTCTTCCTACTATGTCAGGTTCTGTGAGTACTCTTCTCTCTTCCTGTTCTTCTGCAGTGTTTGTCGTTCCATCTACTCTAGTATGACTTTGAAGTTGTTTATCCACAACATTTGGGTCTGATTAGTTGACCCTTGTATGAGGCATGTTATTAGTGAAGATAGGGGGGAAGAAGACAGGGCGGGGCTTAGTAGTAAATAAAAATAAAGTCTTGGGAAGCCCTAGCTCTAATGTGAGAGCTGAGTGTGTGTGTGTTATACTGCAATTTAATGCATATTTTAATTACTTGAACAGAGCACTTCCTCTCCCAAACTATTTATACTGTGTTACGGGGGTGGTCTGGGGCTATGCTACCAAGTGGGCTGCTAGGGGTTCAGGAGACAGAATAGTCAGTCTCTGACTCATGTAACTCATGTCACGGGGGTGGGCCGGGGCTCTGCTAGCACTCAGCTGCTAGGGGCTCAAAAGGCCGAATACTCAGCCCCTCTGACTCCCGGGATTTACCGGAGTCTCCTTGGTCACACAGGAGAGGACCAACAATGCCCACCTCCGCAGGTCTTTGCTTCCACCACAAAAGGTGGTGCCACTGATTCACCCTGGAAGCCCTTCAGTCAAACACGGGGAAACTGCTGTTAACAGTTCCGGCCTAGACCCGAGGAGGAGTGAAGGAAGACTCAGGCTTACCTTATAACCATAACCTCCCTGAGTCTTGCCTGCCAGACAAAAAGGTTGCAGGAAGTCCTTTCCCGCCTGTCTTCTCTATCTTCTTAACAAGGTCGCCAGCTGGGTTATTATATCTGCACCCCAGCAATGCAGTTCAGTGGGTGTATTATATATTGTTTGTAGCCAGAAGATTGCTACTCCCATAGATCTGCTACTAGACTGTCGGCCCAGGGTACTCTCCCAGGAAGGTCTGTGTGGCTTTACCTCTCTCTAGCCACTACGTTACTAGTTGCCACCATTCAGGCACTGATACTGATCGGATGGCTAAGGGTACACTTTTATATAAGACCGTGCTGTCTTTGCCACTCTCCAGGCAATAAGAACTTCTATAGAGAACGTAGTGTTCCCTAGGTGGCACTATGATAACCTTCGTGTATGCTCATAGAGAAATATTATAATGGAGGCACACTTAAACACAGTGATAAAATGTGTGAATTTACTTACACAAATTACATGAACACACACACAATCACAAGTAATACATGAATATGAAAATAAGGATAATAAGTCTGGAGATTATCAGCCTCTTCTTCCACGACCTCCAACACTCCTTCAACTGGGCAGAAAGACAGGAGTCCCACACTCTCTCACAGGAGGGCCTCTTCACCACGTCGGCGCCTCTTCTTCACTGTCCTGCCATCCATACACACTGTCCCCTCTGACAGTCCTGGACACAAGCTGCCTTGCAGCCTATTCTACTACTAAAGTATTAATGTCCTATTGCCACATACATAAGTAAATATTGTGGCCTAACTAGCCTACTCACACAAGGGGTAATGGGAGGGAAAATGATCTACCTTACATCTCGATGGTGTGTGAGGTTCCCACGCTTCCTGAGTCGATCCTCGATGATCCAGGAACGTTCCACAGGTCCTCAGGTGTCGTGGAGCCTTCGCGTCGTCGCCGTTCCAATCCCTGAGATTCAGCTACCCCAATCCTGGTTCATCGATGGGCGCTGAGCTAATCACTATTTTCCCACACTCGCCCCTTCCACAAGGCGTTGCTCCTTGTCCTAGGAATGGTGTCGTCCTTCCAAAACCCTCAGTGGATGTGACCCGGTTACAGCTAGGCTTGCCCACCACACCTTTCCAGGCCCTCAACGTCCAGCGTCACCGCCCAGCGTCGTCACCGAATATTTTCCAAGTTTGGCACTCTTTTGCTCAATAAACTTGGTTCCTTTTTGCTTCCCAGAAGCGCGGTGTCTCCAATACGTGAGATGGGCTGCGATAGCCAGCTCTAATCCACTAAGAAAGGCTTGTAGAGCCTCAAATCCTTGAGAGATGACCGAGGTGCGTCCTCTCGCCTTCACGGTCAGGTCAACTCTGACGTTGGCGCCACCCGGGGCACTCGGTGGCGTCACGGCGGGCCCTGATTGGTCGCCCGCGACCTAAGTCGGCCACTCCGCGATCGGCTAGTGTCCCTTCCAAAACGTCATATCTGCAGTAGGGGATACTCTTTCATTTTATATCAGGGCGCCAATTTCCCCTTACTTACAACTTATAATGTAAGTTTCTCCCTTAACTGGCAGCCGGTCTGGTCGCCACATATATGAATAGACTCCCTGAACCTCAGAGAATCAGTAGGGAGAGCTGATATGACTCTTAAAGCGGGCAAACGAAAGAAATAGGAGAGGGCACCATAACACTCATCAGAGTCACTTGGTCCCAAAGGTGAGGACCACGTAATGCCCACCACCGCAGGTCAATGCTCCCACCACCTGGGTGCCCCTGATTCGCCCTGGGAGCCCTTCAGTCAACCACGGGGAACACTGCTAACAGCAATTCCGGCCTTGCCCCACGGAGGAGTGAAGGAAGACTCGGGTTTACCTTCAGCAACACTTTCTCTGAGTCTTGCCTGCTGTAACTAAAGGGTCGCAGGTCTCTCTTCCAACTTGCGTTTCTCTACCATCTAACAAGGTTGCCAGCTGGGTTAATATCTCTGCACCCCAGCAATGCAGTACAGTGGATATGCTCTATGTTGCCTGTCGGCACAGTGTTGCTGCACTTACAGCGTTGAAACAGGACCACCAGCCTAGGGTATGCTTCTATAAACGTCTGTGTTGCTCTAGCACCACCAGCCACTAGGAGGTTTCCATATAAAATCATATTGTTCACTAGGTGGGGTTACAATATCACTTGTGTATGCTCGTAGAGATAATATGGAAACAACATCAGTGAAACATCAGTAAAAATATATGACATTTATTAACGAAAAGCTCTATGAACACATATATAATTAATAAGGATACATGCATGGATATATATGGAGTAAATATTCTGGAAGTCCAACTGGTCTGTCTGGAAGTCTGGAAGTAAATATTCACAAGTCCAACTCCTGGCCTGCACGGGTGGCTTAGTCTAAGTCCGGCGGAACTGCTTTTACCGACAGGAGAAGGGGCGAGGGCGTGCCTCTGGCGCCTTAAAACCAGCTGCTCCGGGTAGATGGGACTCGATAGCCTGGGAAGGCAGCCCATCTAGGGGAAGGAAAACCCTGATTTTAAACCTCCGCTGCCTTGCGGCCATACCCTTGTTTTTGGGAAGGCTTCAGGAGTCAACCTCGAGGAAAAATCCGGAGTTGGAGCCCCTAAGGCAGTTCGTTGTTGACGTCGACCTCGTTCTGGCAGCTCCTGCGACGTTGCTGGAACCATGCGAACCATGCGTATTGGCATTTGCCTCTCTATTGGATAATTTCAGCAACGTGGAGAGGGGGGACCTGCTGCATGGGTAACAGCTTCTCCTCCATATCTACCTACCCAGGCTTTGCGCCCTGGAGAGGACACTCCAGCTTCGCCTCACAGCGTCGAACCAACACGGGAAGCGACAGTCTACCGGTTTTAAGTCTTCTGCTCGATTGGCGAAGAGTGTGACGCCAGGGGTTGCTTCCGACGGTGGGAGGGGTCATCGCGCCCCACTGGGCAGCTACCGCCCGCCTCAAGCTGGGCAAACCCCAGCCAATAAGGTGTTGCCTCGCCACGGTCCGTTAACCTCACTGGGTGCGTGGGGTTTAGGGTGAAAACTGACAAGCGGCCCGACAACTTTGCACCAAGCAATACCAAACCAAAGAAGAAAATATCAACTGCCCTAAAGCTGGGCACATGGAACGTCAGGACACTGACACCAGGTTTCTCTGACTACCTGCAAGAAATCAATGACGCCCGAAAAACAGCAATCATCGATAGGGAGCTGAGCAAGCTGCAGATGGATATTGTTGCTCTCCAAGAGACCAGGCTCCCAGGATCAGGATCTGTGAGAGAGAGGACCTTCTCTTTCTTCTGGCAAGGAAAACCTCCAGATGAGACCAGAGAACATGGTGTGGGATTTGCCGTCAGGAATGCACTGTTGGGACACATTATGCCACCGATGGGGGAAACCGAACGAATTCTGTCTCTGCAACTGTACTCCCAAACAGGACCAGTCAATGTAATTGGTGCATATGCACCAACCCTGACTTCTCCAGCAGAGGCAAAGGAAAAATTCTACGATGACCTCAACAGAGTCATAGCGAGAATCCCTGTAAAGGAGCCACTGTTCATCCTCGGCGACTTCAACGCCAGAGTGGGTGCCGAGCACAACATTTGGCCCACTTGCCTGGGTCAATTCGGCATAGGAAGGATGAATGAGAAAGGGCAACGTCTGCTAGAACTCTGCTGCCTTCATGGTCTGTGTGTCACCAACACGTTCTTCGGCACAAAGCCTCAACACCGAGTATCTTGGACACACCCCAGATCCAAGCACTGGCACCAGCTTGACCTGATTCTTACCAGGCGTACAAGTCTACCCAGCGTCAAGATTACGCGTAGCTACCAGAGTGCTGTCTGTGACACTGACCACTCCCTGGTATGTAGCAGGGTCAAGATGCAACCAAAGAAGATTCATCACTCGAAAAAGGCGGGCAGACCTCGCATCGACACCACCAAGACCCGCAACCAGGACAAGGTGGAAGATTTTGCACACGTGCTCGAGGAAGCTCTTCCTGGCCCAGCTGGGGTCACTGCCTGTAAAAGATGGGAGCACTTCAGAGACGCTGTGTTCAACGCTGCCATTTCCACCTTTGGCAAGAAGACCAGCAGGTCGGCAGACTGGTTCGAGGCTCACTCGGAAGAGATGACACCTGTAATCGAAGAGAAGAGAAACGCCTTGGCAGCCTACAAAGCCTGCCCAAGTCGGCGCAACTTACAGATCCTTCGGGCCGTCCGCTGCAAAGTG